CTTCAATACAGCTAAAAAGCTGAGTTTTACACTCATTGCATCCAAAAATCAACTTTCTCTGACCCAAGACAAGACAATCGTTTTCAGTTACTGTCGTCTCCAAACAGATTTTACAAAAAGCTCTCATACAAAAATCGCAACATGCTCCAAACAACCCTCCATCCCTCATTTGTGATCTTCTCTTATTGAAACAATTTTCTTGGCAGACTGTACACTGCATTTTTATTAGTTTGTGTATATAATTATATAATTGGAATTCCCACAACTGATAAGGTTTTTTGGTAGGTACCACAAATAAAAATAATAAAACAGGTATTTCCGATAAAAAGATGTTTAGACTATCTGTAGGAATGTCAGCACGCCAAAAAAAAAGGAGGCAAGAAATGAGAATTTATACTGGTGTCGCGATAGGATTAATGGAAAGTTTTTTCAATTTTACGGGAGTTTTGTTCGAGTTACTCATAGGGGCCCTTCACTAAACAATTGTCCACATTACAACCATCACAATGAAACCACAAACCATATAAATAACGATACTGAACCCGACTTTCACTACAAAATTTACGGAGCGTCAATAATCATGACCTTACACGGCAACGGCAAGGATGTTAGAGTTAAATTTAGACAAATACTTCACGCACTAGTGCATGAAGTGAAATTTAACGTCTTTGCAATAGTGCATAAAGTGTGGGTGAGGTAATAGGAAAAATACTGTCACCACCTATTTGGTTGCAACTGGGGGTTTGGGATCTTTTTTTCCTTGACCGCATGTGGATTCTGATTAACCCAAAAGTGTTGATTTCTCCTATTAAAAATACCTTCTCTAGAAAATTTTGCTTCATCAGTCCATATTAATTTTTTTTAGAAAGTTTAGATACTCATAAGTGTGTGTCAGAAGTGTCTCTTAATATCGAATTTGACGTGGGTAATCATCCAGTTACAGCTGTTGAACTTTTGTGAATTTGAAGGGATGCATATTATGATCGTTAAAAATTTTCCGGACATAATAATAGCTCAGGCCTAAATCACCTGCTGCACTTCGGTTGGAAGCTTGGGGATATGCGTGAAAGTAGGCTGAAACATTCACGCTGTTTCTTCATGAGAATCAGACGTTACAGGCTTGGTTAAGCTTGGTGCATTCTTAAGTTTTGAACCAAATTGTATAAAGTTATTTTTTGTGCAACCGTCCGCAAAATTCAATTTCGCCACACTTGACGTGCAAAATGTGCCAAATCCTTGTCAAATTCATACAGTTTTTCTGTAACTTTACATAATTTTTATAGTTGCACAAAAAAATAGTGTGTATACTATGACCGCGAAACTTTTCAGCGTACTTGAGAGTATCTTGCCTCAGCTGGTTGCCTCGGCCGCAAACGGCCTCGGCGATTACTTTTTTCTACGTACGCTAAAAAGGCATTTCGCGGCCTTGGTATACAAATGACTATTGTGTCCGAACAAATTTTCTTTAATTCATTGGTCGTAAATCAGGGTACATTTCGTTGAATTTTTTGCTTATTCTTGCTCGTGCTACAATTTGACTGCAGATTTCTTCTTTTTGACAGTTTTGCCGTGGGAAAAAACCAAATAATTTTGCTGACAGCTGATGGCAGGCAATTTTTTTAATTAAAAATTATTTTTGACACCAAAATTATCACTTCTGATTGGTCAAAATTACCAGGAGGGAAATAAATAGTCATGGTGCGTGAAGTATTTGCCTAAATTTATTTTTCTCACATATTTTATTGATAACAGAAAAAATGTTGTATGCAATGAGTGTGAGTGTGTACAGGGTGGGCCAATTTGGACACTTTCTTATGGAAACACCTTTTATTTTTTGAGATAGAAAAAAATGAACCCCCCACTCTGAGGCTCAAATTTCATGAAATTTGGATTGGTGCAAACCGCATTTTGATATCTTCAACCGTCTAGCCGCTAGAGGGCGATTCTCGATTTGGAGCAATACTGTGAAACCTTCATAACTTTTTCATTTATGAAAATAATTCATTTCTGTAAAGACTTTCTGGAAGCACTTTTTTAAGTGGAACTCAGTGAAGTTCTCAGCTTTTTTCTATTTGGCTCCGATTCCGAGATATTGACCAAAATCCGAGTTTTTTCAATAGGACTTCCTATATATTAATAGCTCATCGAAAAGCTCTGCTTTTGCTGATTTCAATGATATAAAATTCGATAGGTATATCTCCAACGGTTTCCGAGAAAAAAATTATTTCGATTTTTGTCATAAGACACAATGTGTTGGAAAAGGACTTTATATCGGATTTTGGTCAATATCTCAAAATCCAAGTCAATTAGGAAAAAACTGAGAACGTCACTGAATTCTTCTTAAAAAAGTGCTTCTAGAAAGTCTTTACGGAAATCAATTATTTTCATAAACAAAAAAGTTATGGAGGCTTTACAGTATTGCTCAAAATCAAGAATCGCCCTCTAGCAGCTAAACGGTTGAAGATATCAAAATGCGGTTTGCACCAATCAAGATTTCATGAAATTTGAGCCTCAGAGTGGGGGGTCCATTTTTTTCTCTCTAAAAATAAAGGGTGTTTCCATAATAGACGGAGAGCTGGCTACATAAAAAGTGCCCGCATTAGGTACATGGCTAATTTATATTGAAAATAATAGTATCAGTGTAGGCGAGGGGGTACGTAGTGAAAGGGGTGAATTTTGGGTGGGAAAAAATTCATAAGGTACAGGGATTCTATTTACGGGAAAAGTTTGGTTTCATATTTGAGAAAGTGTAAAAAAATTGGCAGATATTTTGCAAGGGGCTAACTCGCCGGCAGATTGCGCTAAAGAATGCAAAAATTAATAAAAAAAAAATCATAAGGTACATGAATTCCAATTATTGTATTTTAAAGTTTAAACATTCAAAAAGTCATTTACAAAATGACAGACAAAAAAATGAGGGCGAAGGCCGTGGCAGACGACGTTAAAAAGTGCGCTGCACATCAAAATTTTTAATCACATTCTTGATATTTAACTGCAGAAGAATTATTATCGATATTTATGAAATATATCAATGAAACTCATTATTTCATAACTTTTATTTTTAGGGAATTTCAAAAACAATTTGATTTTTTTTTTAATGTTAATATTATGGTTGTTTATAAGTATATCAATTTATTTTAAACGATTAATTAATATTAGTCAGTATTTGGTTTCTTCACTTGTGAAAAGTGAAGGTAAATGCTCATAAAATTTTGAAATATAATACCCGCCCTTAGCCAAATAACTTGTCGCAGGTATAAGGTCCCAGATTTGTATAGATATATTTGGGAGCGGAATATAATATAAATATTGATGGGGGGAAGCAGATGTTTTCGTGCATAATAGAGCAAGCGACGCAGCACAAGGTGATGCCGCACAAGGTCACTGAGAGCAGATCTCCTGTTTTAACAGGAGAACTCCTGTTTTCACTCTCAACCTCCTGTTCTACTGTTTTCACCGTGAAATCTACTGTTTTCAGCCTCAATGTCTATTTTTCTGCTTTTTTCTATGAAATCTCCAGTTGATTTCAGTAATTTTCCCTATTAGACTGCGCATGAAAGAAAAGAATAACGATATACTCCAGCTGTACGCCATTTTTTTGTTTGTTGTTCTGATTGGATCGGCTTGGTTCGCCATGACTCTAATCAGTCAAGACATTGACAAATGGTTTGATTTGAGGGACTCCCCAAGAATCGTGAGTTAACAGAGCCGCTTTCCAGCTGTGTGCTTCAAGCACGGTGCAGCACAGTGTTCTGTGTTTGAAACGCAAAAGTTAGCAGCTTTCGAAGCGCAGTACGGCTGGAACACGAACACGCGCTTGAAGCATTTGCGCGCGCAAAAGCTCGATTGCGTCAGCTGGAAAGCGGCTCAGGATTGCTCATCATCATAAGGCTTACCTTCGCCAATTTCCGAGTCGATAGGGCCTGCGAGTGACGTCACCACTCTTAGCTGCATATAGCAGCTTATAGTGGTGACGTCACCCGCAGGCCTCAATGAGATACTTGCAATTAATAAAACAAAATATGAATCCTTTCAACAGCGAAGATACTCAGAGCAATGAATTGTTTAATATTGCATCTGGACGAGCAGCATCGAAAGAAGTGACCGATTTTTTATTAAATGTCGAAAGAACTGGCCGTTGTTTAAGAGAAAAGTTTATTTCTGAATGTGCTGAGTCTGATGATCAATTCGAATTAACTATTAAACAAAATAAAATACTGAATTTTGCTACTTCAACTCAGAAAAGATTTGTCTCGATGAATAATAAAGTTCAAGAAGTACGACTGCAGCGTGACTTGTTCGGCCGAATGTTAGCCATTTCAATCAATGACAATGCTAATGTTGAAAAAATTTTGACTTATCCTCTAACACCTGTTCCAATGTGTATGTGTCACTTGGATGGATCCATATATAAAACAGATAAATCTGTTTTGTTGAAGTCGTTGGAAAAAGATGTTAAAAGTACAGCCCCAAGATACACTGACATTTGTTTAATAGACGGATTCTTTCTCATACATTGTATCAAGGATTTACCAAAAACATTCGGAAGCATTTCCAAAAAAATACTTCAAATGGTGACTAACAATGCAGCCCGTGAAATTCATGTAATTTTTGATAGATATTGGTCACCATCTATCAAAGATTACGAAAGATCTCAGTGAAGCGGTTCCTCTGGTAATCACATGTACGTGATTTCTGGGCCTGAACAAGCAAGACCATCAGACTTCAATAAAGAACTCCGAAATAGCTTTTTCAAAGAGGCACTTGTGAAATTTTTAATCATCAACTGGCAAAATCACGAATTAATTCCATTCTTTCAAAATAAAAAAGTGCTACTCAATTTTGACAACTGTTATCAATATGAAGCTGTGAATGGAAGCATATTATTTTCAAAAAATGATAAGTTTACTCTCGATTTGCATGAAGAAGCGGATTCAAAAATTGTATTCCATGCGTGCAATATCGAGTCAACAGCAAACATTCTAATAAAATGCTCAGATATGGATATTTTAATTATTATGTTGGCTAATATGATTCACATACAACACAATAGCAAAGTTTATATTCAAACAGGGGTTTGGAATAAGCAACGAATAATTGACGTATCGGCGTTGCATGAAAAGTTAGGCGAGATAATGTGTCAATCTCTGCCAGGATTTCATGCTCTAACTGGCTGCGATTTCAATCCCATTGCATTATTTCGTAAGGGAAAGCAACGTCCTTTACAGATCTTAAAGAAAAATGCAGACTTACAAAAAGCATTGGATCAAATTGGACATGAAGACTGTGATGAAACCGCTTCCCGATTCTTGAAAAGTTCATCTGTAATTTGTACAACTTTCCGTTATTGAGCTCCGTAAATGATGCGCGATTCGCCTTATTTTTAAAAATCTATAAGGTCAACCATTTGGATGAACCTTTCCAGAAAAAAAAAATACAGAATTTTGACTCATCCACTTTACCTCCTAGCCAGGCTGAATTAACGCAGCATTTATTGAGGACCAAATATATTGCTACAATATGGAAAAATGCTCATAAGAAAATTCCATCACATTTACTACCAGAAAATTGCGGATGGATATTAGTAGAGGAAAATTATCAATTTAAATGGTTCGACGGACCACAGCTGCCTAGTACAATACAAGATATTATTGATACTGGAACAAACGAAGGTAATATATTTTTCCACAAAACATATAACTTTTCTTTTCTATTAAATGTCTAAAACTTACTTTGCTTTCTGCTTTGTTACAGGCGATGAAGGCCTTAATGCAGAAAGCGAATCAAATGAAGAAGAATATGGCGATAGCGAAGGAGATATCACGTCCGAATCGGATTCCGATTGCGAATGTGACTAAAAATGTTGATGTGCAGCGCACTTTTTAACGTCGTCTGCCACGGCCTTAGCCCTCATTTTTTTGTCTGCCATTTTGTAAATGGCTTTTTCAATGTTTAAACTTTAAAATACAATAATTGGAATTCATGTACCTTATGATTTTTTTTTTATTAATTTTTGCATTCTTTAGCGCGATCTGCCGGCGAGTTAGCCCCTTGCAAAATATCTGCCAATTTTTTTACACTTTCTCAAATATGAAACCAAACTTTTCCCGTAAATAGAATCCCTGTACCTTATGAATTTTTTCCCACCCAAAATTCACCCCTTTCACTACGTACCCCCTCTTCGCGCCCCAGTTTTGCAATGGCAGACATTCATATTTATATTCGCCTACACTGATACTATTATTTTCAATATAAATTAGCCATATACCTGATGCGGGCACTTTCATGTAGCCAGCTCTTAGTCCATAAGAAAGTGTCCAATTTGGACCACCCTGTACAGTACCTTTTTTTACTCATGTGATTGTCCCACGTCACATTTGTGGAAAAAAGTTCATTTAACACACTTGTTACTGCTATTTAATAAGACATAATTTTTAAATAATTCAATTCTTACAGAAACTTGCCTGTATTTCCGAAACCTCACTATTTAGGTATAGGAACATGATACATCATTTGTAAGGGATTTCAATTGCCTTTCATAATATTTCATAATATACAGGGTGTTCTATTTAAAAAAGTGCACTTTTCATCTTTTTTGTACCTGGCAGCACAATTACTAATTTTGACCCACCCTGTATAATGTAGAACAAATTTTCTTGCTCAAAAGTAATATGCAGGACCTCCCCAAGGTATCTCCAAAATTTAAATTTTCTACGAATCTCAGGCATGTAGTAATACAAATTTACCTAGAGCAATGTTTTGAAGAAAAAATAAAGAAATTAATTAATAAGTCGAAAATCACTAGAGATAGGTATAGGACAGTATTATACAAAAATGATCAGGAAGTAATAGCGGAGCAAAAAATGCAATAATATACAGGGTGTCTCATTTAAAATTTCAAAGTTCATATTACTTTTTGGTGTAAACGGCAACGTCGCATCGTTGAAATTATTTTAGAAAGATAGATCAGGAGCAATTACTTGGGCATGCAAATTTTCAAAAATATTCAACGTTCCATTTTCCATAAACGTCTAACCTACCATCGACCATCAATCACCCTGTATACATCTTGGAAACATGCATTTTTGTATACAAATTCATTTTAAGAAATATGTGAATCATGATTACCAAACTCGAAGTAATACTCAAATGAATCTACAGATATATACCGCAAAGTAAGTCAACCATGAACTTGAGATTGTTAAATTATTTGAGTCCAAAGTTTTTCAACTTACTACCAGTAGAATTAGGAAAAACATTGAATTTCAAAAAAATTATCAAAAACTGTAGATGTCTTATTTAACAGAAATGAGGAATTCGTTAAACTTCATAAATGGAGTTATTGAAGATAAATTAATAAATAGGAATAAATTCAATTGTTATTAACATAATGCTTAGCTGCCTTACAGTACACTGCAAATATTTATATAATAGTTTAAGATTAATAGATACAGAAAAAATAGAATATATTGACTATCAAACAAATTGAAAATATATAACACATCCAGGGGATCAAATCGCCTTGGTGCTAAAATAGCAAATTGTAAGACTACACACTAGCAATAAAAATACTTTGTTAAACAATGTAAATTAGAAAAAAATCTGTAATGTTTTGATTGATTGTCTTATTTGTCCCAGGCAAAAATACAAAATCCCGTTTTCTTCACTATTTTGTTTATTTGTCCCTTTACGTGAGAAATAATATCTGGCAACCCTAGTTAAAAGGCCAAAAAAAGGAGCATGACCCAAGAAGTTTCCAACTTTTAAACCCCCCAAAATCTTATATTACCTAATAGTTATGTCGTTACGTCCCTGTAGAGTAGGTTCATTGCTCAAAATGGAAATTGAGAATCGCCCCCTAGTGGCAAAATGGGAAAAGGTATCCAACTGCGGTTTGATTAATGAATATTTGAAATATTTCATGACATTTCAGTCTTAGAGTGAGCCGTTAATGTTTTTCTATCTCACTCAGAAATTGATGTTCCCTATTAAAAGCTTCCAAATTGACTAGAGGTGAGTTGCGATTTCACGAACTGTGACTTTATCACTGCTACTGGTCTGTCACAGTCACAGCCTGCTCCAGTCTCACTCAAGTAGCAGTGACATTTTGTCACAGCCGCTTCTATCTCTGATCGATACAGCGCGGACTAAACTCAAGACAGTGGTGGAAATAATGAAAAAATATTATCACATATTATTATAAATCGCATCGCGGTGACGCAAAATAGAAACTGCTACTGTAGAGGGCAGATTGGAACATCTTTCTCGGTCGTGACTGCGAACTGGGCAGACTACGATTATGTAATGTAGCATTTAAATGTATTATCAGTACGGCCAGTCAAGGATAAACTGCTCCAAAAAATCACTGCTATTTGTCACCGTGACAGGACTGGAGCAGTCACGTCTTGTAACAGTTCCAGTAAAATCGCAGGTTGGCCCACCTCTAAAATTGACCCACCCTGTACTGCAAAAGAGGGCACTTGACAAAAAATTAGAAATAATGTGAATAAGGGTCACCTAATCATTTTTTTTTTTTTTTTTTCATAATCTGTTTCCAAATTTTGTTGGATTTAATTCTGGGCACCCTGTTTGATCATCCCACCTTTGTTCTTTGTACTTAATTGAATTAATTCAAATTAAATTAATGAATAAAATTTAAAAAATAAAAATGGGAAAGTTAAGTAGGTATTATTTACCTTGGGGTATTCGCCTCACCAAATTGTCATACCCAGCACGAAATCCACCTGTTCTTGGGCCTCCTCTGCCACCACCTCTATCCAAGTGAAGAGCTCCAGGGCCTCCACGACGTGCTTGAATAGCTTCTGGTAATCTTCTTAATAGATCATTCAGATCAAAATTAGACATTTTATGATCACAAATAGAACATAATTGGAATACCTATGGAAAAAAAAAGTCTGTAGTTTGCTCACAAATAGATTAGATAAAGTTTTAATCAATAATGTACCTACCTAAATTGCAAAACAGCTTCTCACTAATTAAAATTTCAAATTGCAAACTCCCATGCAAATAAGCAAAAAAGGTAAATGTTGCTGTTTGCAAATTGTAATTAAAAATTGTCTCATCCGCATCCGGCAATGAAATGGCAAATCCGGAACTAAACTAAACCAAACTGAGGTTAGAAGGTCATCCAAAATTTTTCTTCGATCACATCCTAACTAGCTTGACCATGGTCTAAAGATTGTCGATCTAAACTTTGAACAATTTGGGCGAGGAAAGCAAAAATTCTATTACTCATAAATAACTATTGCTTCCATTGAAAACTGACTAATAAATTTCTATCACTTAAAAGAACAATAATTGAATTTTACTGAGTACTAGCGCGTTAGAATGAAGTCGCAGTTGCGTCGTTGGCGAACTAAACTGTCAGCTGACTTCTGTTTGTGCCAGGTTGAGAATCCGGGGAATCCCCGGAAAAAAACCGGTGAAAACGAATATAAATGCACATGAGCAAAACTGGTTTTTTCGTAGTTTTTTCTACACACCCAATACAGTACGTTCGAAAACGTACCGGGCGTAACCAGTGTGCTTGATCATTGATCAACACGCTTGATTATTTTAATACTCTGCCCAACGATGCGTGGCTCTTGGAAATTACACACATCAAAATAGTCTAGGGAACAAGATGCAACTGAATACATTTATAAATTGAACAAAATATACTTTTAAAAGTTTTTCAAATGTTGTTAAAGCCTGCTGCAAAAGCCGATATGATAAATTTTACAAGATTTGTTCAACATACCCATATGGTATCTTTATAAAAAAAGTTATTCTGTCTAAAAATTAAAAGACGAATATTTCTTGTTCCCTAGACTTTTTTGATGAGTGTATTAGCTCTTTCGACTTTTGCCTCAAAAGTTCACCCGATTGATCGAAAAGCGATCCGAAACGGATCCACATGTTCGGCTTAAAACGGAGCGTTGCTCCAATTGACGTTTTCAATTAAAAGAGATGGACGATAAAGTATGAAAACATTCAGATTCCCGCCAACATTTGCTCGCTCGTCAATGTCAAGTGTATAGGGTGTTTAGCAATCCCCTGGTTTTTATTCTAATCGGTGACTCCACCGTTGAGTTAGGTATCTTTGTTCAGTGAATGGAGAATGACAATGACCGACATAGAATGGTGAAATTTGAAATTGGAAAGAAAATGTGGGAAGCAAACAGCTTCCGCAAACTAAACTTGAACGTGGATATCTTTGTATACTTGATGGATCGTGGATTTCCCTTACTTTTGCGAGTATCAGTTCTGATTTTGTGTATCCAAATTTTGACAAATGTAGGATTTGATGAAAACTTATGGAAAGACACGTCCGCCGGTGAATAGGAATTATTTTCACGAAAAGGCACACTACACACAATCACCATTGTTAGGAAAAAACTTTGAAAAAAGGAGGAAATAATAGTTTCCAGTCTCACACGTATAAAACTCTTGTCAACAAACCATTGTCAATAGCTGTCAATCATTGTTTTCATACTTTTCATACTCTTTTGGCATCTGACAGTCTGACGCCAGAGAGAGAGGCTTCTAAATTGAAAAGGTCAATTGACTTGAGCAAATAAAACGCTCTCAAATCTCGCACGGAGTGCACTTTTCTTGCTTCATCTCGATGGATCAAGAGTTTATTTACCGTGAGTTCGGTATTTTGATCCGAGTTCTCCGAGCTTGAATTTACCGTTCTTTTATTTGAAAAGTGTACTCGGTGCAGGCTCATTCGCGTTCGTTTATTAGAGAGTTCTCGTGCCGTCCAAATTTCAAATACTGTAACGCTAATTGACAAGTAGGGATGGCAAAATATATAGATATTTTGTAAATATCGAAATATTACTCAAATATATCGATATATTTTAATCGATATCTTACACTCGATATATCGCTCGTGCGCAAGTTCATTTGTTGACTGTGACAGCTATAAGGAACGTTATTTTTCTACAATCGTGCGGACATGTAGTTTTCCGCACGCATTTTAGGATATGAAAGTATCAGGGTGACCTAACATTGCATACGTATTTTCCTACAGCCGTGCGGAAAATGAGTTTTCCCGCACGGTGCGGTAAAACTTTTACCGCACGCATCGCATATCAGTGCGGAAAAAGTGCGAAAGCCAGCGCATCTGTTCCTTTCAAATCGGGGTCGACTAACACCGAAGCGAGTAGCTCAAGAGTGCGTTCGAAATTACCCTGGGCGTCACACCGAGTGCACACCAGCCGTTCGAAAATGAATTGGTATAAACTCTGGTTGACTTTCATGCTATTTCGAAAATATCCGGGGTGCTAACCAGTGTGCACTCTTTCTTAACCAACTCTGCCGCTGGGTAAATTTCACTCTTGTCATTCTTGTCAGTTTTTCATTATTTAAAGGGGGTGTGCGCCAAAAAAACAATTTCACCTCAAAAAAAAGAGAAAAAAAATCTAAGAATAACAGTGAAATCCGCACCCCTCTATGACAAATAATACCGCAGATATGGCTCTATGAAGGTACCGCATCTCACCCTATGACGTCACGAAAGCTCAAGCGACGCACGAGAAAGTGGATTTAATTAAATTTACATAATGTTTTTCCTGTGTTACCTGCAATAATCTAAACAAAAACCACTCACGCGTGCCGGGAACAATCAAATTAACAATGCAGAGCGCCGCTGGACGAAGTTTTCGTGACGTCACGAGAGCGTCGTCCACACTTTAAAGCAGTATATCTCAGCGATGGTTTATCGTAGAATAACGAGGTTTGAACAGTTATTCTTAGATTTTTTTACACTTAAACTTTAATTTTTGGCGCACACCCCCTTTAAAGCTACTATATAATTTCAAATTTAGTCAAATTTATTTATCCCAGTTGAGTAGTTGATAATAGGTACTACAGTGACTATTACCACAGTGGCGAAAATTGCTGTCTTATTTTTGATTGGTTCTAAAATCCCATATATTTAAATCGAAAACGCCGCCATCTTGTTGCCAACCTCTTGTTACTTTTAAATATGAATATATGGGATTTAGGTGAACATCCATCATAAATCATGGAAAACAACGTATTTGATGGACCTAATAATGGTCATCAAATACGTCGATTTCATTTTTTTATGATAGATGTCCATTTAAATCCTATATATTAATATTTAAAAGTAACAAGAGGTTGGGAACAAGATGGCGGTGGGACCTCTATTGTCGCCACTGTATGTAAAGGTTTATTTAGCCCATTTTGCCACTGTAATAGGTACAAACAGACAAATGAACTGCATAGAACACTGGGCCTAAAAGTTATGTTTTTATTATGTTATAGGTTATAATTATACCCCAGTGCGATCGAAAATACACCAGTTAAAATTTACTCTTCTGACCACGTGACCATATATCCACTCTCATCCTTGGGTAAAATTTAACCTTTTTTCGAACGCACTCCTAGCGTTCTAAACTCTTGAAAGGATTACAACTAAACTTTTTTTTACGCTGCGACTAGAGTCCCAACTCAGGATTCACGTCCAGAAAACGGCTTTGGTGAGTGCTACAGTAACGCTACGTCCTGATGGCACCAATATTTCCGAAACAGTTGAAGATAGATATATGACATTGTACATGATATGTCTAGAATTTTCTGCAATATCCAGAAATGTCATAATATACAGGGGTCAGGGGATACCATTTAAAAAAATTAAGTTAATATCAGCGAAGCTATTTTTGAGACACCCCTCTATGATAAAAATTATATCGAAAAATTTCAAACAAAATTAACGTTTCTGAGCGATTTTTCAAAAATTCTACCGTTTCTAAAATAATGAATTTATGCCGGATTTTATGAACTCACTGTATGTATATTCTTAACTATGACTGCTGACGCAAACCGCTGACGACGTAGTTCATGACGTCGTCAATGGTGTTACACAATATGATCGCGATTCCCAAAAACGAGGTCGATAAGCACTGCTGTATAATACTGTGTATTATCTTTGTTGCTTATCGGCCCCGTTTTTGGTAATCGCAATCATATGGTGACGTAGCACCATTGTTGACGTCATTAACTAAGTTGTGAGCTGTTTGCGTCAACGGTGGTAGTTTGGAATATTTATAATGAAAAATATTATTCAATACTAACCCAAATTAGCCCAAAGTAACTCAAACTTATCAATACTAACCCAAACTTACCAATACCAACTTAAACTCACCAATACTAAATTTTGATTAACATAATAGGCAAAGAGGAAGATTCAAACGAGATCTAAATAAGAGTTAAATATTAATTAGTAAAACCAAGTATGTAGGTATAAAACTTAATTTTCATGCATCCGTTTTTCCGACGAAAGATGTCCGAAAAACATTCTATTCTGACATAATCGTATAAAAATATGTCATAATAGAAGATTTTTCGTACATTTCGTCGGAAAACGGGTGCATGAAAATCCGGCCTTAAAGCAAAAGCCCGCGGAATCATAATCTATTGAGATTTGAACTACAAACTACACAGGCTTTATGAGGATAGGCTATCCTGTAATAGTATTGATGTATTATCCTGGATCTTTGCCCTTGATTTAGTATACAGAGGGTTGTCGTTATGTATGTGAACGTGAACCACCTTATATTTTCAGAACCCGCTTAGGAAAAATGCACAATCAGCCGATCAGCCACCCTGGAACATAACGCGTTTTGATCAACTGATCCGGTCCGAAAGAATGCGGCTCTGGTCTACGGGTGACGTCACCATTATCAGCTGCTGATAACGCTGACGTCACCCGCAGACCTCGTTGGATTGCTTGCAGCTTGCATTTCAGAATGTGCTTGTGAGTTAATTTCTCCATCGATTTTAAATGTAGAAAAGCTGGTTTAGAAATTCGTTTTTTTGACCCGAAGTGTTTTGGGTCTGCAGGTGATGCCACAAATAGTGTATTTCGCCTTCAGCTCAAATGAGCAGTCCTATTTGGTAAGTGTTCTTGACCCGAACGCAAATAATCTTATTCCGTCTACTCCAAAAACAATAAGCGAACCATAGAAGTGAAAAGAATAAAAACAGTGCAATTTTGAACTCAGGACTTATTTTATGATTTTATTGTCCATTATGAACCAACGGAGAACGGATCAGAGTCACGTGTTTATCGACTTTAAACTCACAGAAATCACAAACCAGAGCGTTTTTGATTGGTGCAAGCTCGCCAACTACCAGTTCTTTGACTATTTTCAAACAATGAAATTCGCTCCGATATCGGGGTCGATTAACACTGGAGCGAGTACCTCTAGTACTCTAGTGTTTTAACCCTTTAGGCGATTTTCAGCCTGGAATGATTATTTATCGGTAAATACCGTGGTTATTCTTTTGGTTGACAACTTTGACAGCCAAGTGTGAAGTCACAGCCCCCCACCACTCAAGAATCTTAACCCAAGGAACTGACCGCTGAAATGATTTGGTTATAGCAGTGTAGGATTATGTTTATTATTCCTATTTGTTTTTTCGTTTCAACAATGGTTTGTTGTTTAGGTACAAAAAATGGAGCGGAATCTCTCGTTAGTCTCGTTCATCGAACAGATTTTCTTTGGGGATGATCTAAACCTCGATCTAACCTTGCGTTCGGTATTTTGCTCAAAGTGAAGAGCGAGCTGAGCGGAGCCGTAATCACGTGACCAGCGAGCGAAGGGAGCAGTTGAACGCTGTATAAAAGTACCGGAAATTTTAATAAACAAACGCGAATGAGGCTGCACCGAGTACACTTTTTAAATAAACGAACGGTAAAGTCAAGCTCGGAGAACTCAGACCAAAATAACGAACGCACGGTAAGCATGGTGAGTTGCAGTGAGTGAGTGAGTGTATACTTCTCCCATTGTGCCAGGCCACAACACAACTGCAAAATCACAAAACACCAATACCAATTCCCAAAATAATAACAATCACATCAAAAATCTGTAACCAAAAGATTAACCCAAGTCCAAAGCTGGGTTATAATCGGTTATAAGTGGTAAATACCAAAAGCAAATCAGCTGATATGTGACATCACAACTTCCCCTACTTTGGTTAAAACCGCGACGGCGGAAATGCATTGGTTATAACCAAATAATAATCATTCCAGGCTGAAAATCGCCTTTTCACTGCTAAGCCTGAGTTTTTGATCCTCTCCCATGTGCGCACAAATTCAGGCGCTGCGTATTTATACGTCTGGAGCAGCGTGGTTCCGTAGCGTATATATACGCTAATACTAAAAAGAGCCACGAACACACAGTGTAATTGCTGAATGCGTACTGCAGTCATACAGTTCAGATGCGATGGTGGTGAATCCTCCGCGTATTTATACGTCTGGAGCAGTCAAGAGTCAAGAGATTTTTTTTTTCACAAAATATGGCTGTCAGTCTAAATTTATGATGTTGAAAATATATTGACAATATACAAGACTCTAGTATTTAGGGCGTCGCACCGGTGTCACACTCACACTGGGTGTGTCATTCCTGAACTCGCCCCAGCTGACGCTTTTGAGCACGCAATCGAGCTTTTGCGCGCGCAAATGCTTCAAGCGCGTAACTTTTGCGTTTCAAACACAGAACACTTTGCTGCACCGTGCTTGAAGCACACAGCTGGAAAGCGGCTAAAATTAAAGAAAAATATTGCTGACATGCGTTTTAAAAACCATAGCAATCTTTGATTGTTTTTTTTTTTTGAAGACCCGATACGATAATTTGCACACATGCTGCGTTTATATAGGCTGGAGCAGTTATTGGATTCGCGTATATATACGTTTAGAGCAGCTAAAAGGTTAAACTCTTGAAAGGAATACAACTACTCCGGCTATGTTCCGATTTCAACTGCCAGTACTGGATTTACTATGCTGATTTTACAGTCATCTGTTCCGATTTCAACAGCGTACTGTTGTGGTCATTCAGTACTGAATCGACTGAATCCAGTCTACTGAAAATAATATCGGAACGGCGTCCAGTAAATTCAGTACTGGCAGTTGATATCGGAAGATAGCTTCCTATTTCACCCATATACCTTGCGTTCTGTATTTTGCTCAAAGAGCGGAGCGTGCTGAGAGGAGCCGTGATCACGTGACTAGCAAGCGAACAGAGCAGTTCGACGCTGTATTCGAGTGCCCGAAATCTTAATATAAACGAACGCGAATGAACCTGCAACGAGTACAGTTTTCAAATAAACGAACGGTAAATTCAAACTCGGAGAACTCGATCAAAATACCGAACGCACGGTTCGTATTTCGCCCCTTGACATTCTTGACATGTGACAATGGTCAATTGACGTTTATTATGATTGTAAAAAAAATAACAAAATAAAAAGAATTTCCATAAAATTAAAATATCAACTCTGATTTCTGAACAATCTGAACTCTCTGGTGCAATTTTTTTGAGGCCGAGGCCAAAAAAATAAACTCCGCATTCTTCTTTCGTCAGATAGTCATCATCAGATTTCATCATTTTTGCTCCAGAGTTTATTAACGACCTAAAGGTAAGTGCCCTCAACAAAGTGCCTTGTAAACAAATAAATAAAACTGTTAAAATGCTGCATTCAGCAAAATTTTACTTCTCTTATTCCTAGATATCAATGAATACTGGATATACATATAGGATTATCCTTCGACCAGATTATCTAATCTTGTTAGAAAATAAATTTTCTAATTATGTATTTGTTTTTTTCATTCTGACCTTGTTTAATTTAATTTCGATAATTGATCTTTGCATAAGGTATAGGGTATACATACTATTCTGACCTCACATATTGTAATTGTACAAACTTTGAAAGTTGTACCTTAGTAGAATGGTACCAAATACCTCCTTAAAATATGTACCATCGTCACCAAAAGTATCTGGGACACAAATAATGCATAATTATCTCCTGGACTAATTCTACTGTCATTAATTTCAATGCATTTAATTTAATGCATAGTTTGACAAATATTTGACAATAAAATTCATATAATAGGACAAGAGCTAATGTGATGCTGTCCCAGTTACTTTTGGTGACGATGGTACCTTACTACCTACTACACAAACAACAAATTGTACTTGTACAGTACCACTTCCGCCAGGCACTTCACACTTGTAGAGACCTACATTTCTTATAATGTCTCTCAGAATATCTTTAATTTGATTGATTTAATTTACCCTGCACTGCAAACCAACAAAATTGCAGGTTTCACCAGAAGGAATGGGAAAAAAAGCGGAGTGTTTTGTAAGTCGCAAGGGCTTTAAATGCCCTCTTATACACGCATATCATACGCTATTTTTTTATTACGAATGCATCATAATCTCAAAAATGTTTTAAAAGTGTTCATTCATTTTGATAAGTAGTAATTTAAACGGCAGGAATGAGGTAAATATCTAGGTAATGAAGGTAGATCGAACGTTTCTATAGCAAACCTTTGAAAAGGTAGACGCATCATAATCATCATTTTATGCACGCTGCAGCATTCGATAATCGTTGATTATGATGCATGCGTAATAAAAAAAAAATTATGCTTTATTTTGATTCTGGTAAACTTCCTCAGAGACTAAAATTACAATGACCCTGGTTAAAAACATTCATAAACAGAAATACAAAATAGGTTTATATATTTATTTATTCACTGATAACTCTGCAAACACTGTAGATAATTACAAGCAAAGTCACTACAAACCTAGACCTAAAAGAGGAAATACAATAACGAATTTTAGGATGAGCGCAATAATTTTCTCAAAGAGCACTCCTTTACCTTAATACTTAAAATGTCCAAATCGTCTCATTATTTTTTCATCACAAATAGCTAACATTTTGCTTGGGGATGACATGTTTATAATAATAGATAAATCTCTTTGTAAAAGCCTTAATTGGACCTTAGGTACTCTAAAATTCATGTAGTTGATAAGATTACAGTTATTATACTATACTTTATAGCTACTATTAATAACGAAATAAATAAACATCACAGTTTGTATCTTTCTTCTCTCGACCAAAGTAGAAAATTCAAAGGCTTGAAGCAACGATCTATATGAAACCATATATCTAAGGAAATGTTTTTGTACTTTTTCAATATGGTCTATATTAACTGATGCTGTAGTCAGCCATATATTTGATACATATTTCAAATATGGTCTCTCATAGGTATTGAGATCTGAACTTTTATTATTATTATTATTATGATACAATAGTAAGCAGTTTACACTGATGAAACTATTGGATTACTTGTAAGTTTATCGTCGTGTTTTTGGTAAGAACTTATTGTCCATAATGAATATCCACATGGAGTAATGCACTCATATCGGTGTCGACCTTATTCTTGAAAGAATTCAGACTCTGGGCGGTGACTGTAGAATTTGACAGGCTGTTCCATGGGTAGACAATTCGATTTGCTATGAAGTTTCTTCTTGGAAGCTTGGCGGTTTTTTCCTTGCACAACTTCAAAGTATGACCTCGTAGATGGGGGTTGTTATTGAAGGTGAAGATGTCAAGGTTACAGGAGTACCCATTTCGAATAATCTTGTATGTCTCGATCAGATCTCCTCTCTGACGCCTTTCCCTCAAAGAAGTGAGTCCCAGGGTGGATAGTCGAGTAAGGTAATCTTCATTACGGAGTGATGGTGGAATTTTTGTTACTCGTCTCTGCACTCGCTCTAGTATCTCGATATCCTTTATGAAGTACGGATTCCAAACTGAGTGGGCGTATTCTAGTTTTGGACGTATGAAAGATTTATACAGTTTCATAATGGTGTTGCACGACTGGTCTTCAAAGGCCTTTTTCACAAGGTATATGTATGAGTTGGATTTTTTGGCAATTTTTGATATGTGCATCTCCCATTTCAGATTATAGGTTACTATGACACCTAGATCCAATTGCTCCCTCACATGCTTCAGCTCGACATTGTTTATTTTGTAGGCATACTCAGTGGTGTTGGTTCCAATGCTCAAGATAGTACATTTTTCTTCGTTTAGCCTCATTTTCCACGTATTGGACCACACTTCTATAGCTCTGAGATCTTCTTGCAATTTCTTGTGTTCTGCGGCCTTTGCATACAATTTCGTGTCGTCGGCAAAAAGTAGAACCCTGGTTTGGATATTAGATGTCATATCGCTGACATACAATAAGAAAAGTAGAGGACCCAGTACTGATCCCTGAGGCACCCCACTCTGCACTTTTCTTCTGTCTGAAAAGATTGCATTTATTCTTACTTGGTAGCATCGGTTTAATAGAAAATTTGATACAAATTGTAATAGGTTCCCAGCAATGCCAAAGTGATGTATTTTGTGCAGGAGATAACTGTGACACACTTTATCGAACGCCTTCTCAAAGTCGAGATATATCACATCCACTTGCTCGTTATTGTCAAAGTCCCTTGTCCAATCGTCCAAGCATAGTGTAAGGTTGGTTGTTGTAGAACGCCCTGGAAGAAAACCATGTTGGTGCTTCAGTAATGGATTTTGCTCCAGTACAAATGGGGTTAACTGTTTCACCACAATTTTTTCCATACACTTGCATAGATTGCACGTCAAACTTATTGGACGATAGTTCGATGGAGCGGTTTTGTCTCCTTTTTTGTATATTGGAATCACAAACGATGTTGACCAAGTCTCAGGAAAGTTGTGAGCTTCAAAAATACTTTTCATGAGATCAGACAAGGGTTGGCTCAGGATGGCTGCACAATTTTGCAGGAACACTGCTGGAATTCCATCAGGGCCTGGGCTGGAATCCGTCTTCAACGATTTTATTGCTTCATACACCTTATCAGGAGATAAGTCAATATTTGACATCTTTGAAGTTGCACGTAGGTATTCCGGAATTAGTGGCATTTCGTTTTGATTTCCTTTGGTGAATACCTTTTCAAATTGGTTTGCAAAGCATTCCGCTACATCAAAGTCGTCAGTCAAAAGTTCATCCGCTTCATTCTTTAATGTTATTGTTGAAACTTTGGTTGATAGTGTTTTATTCACATACTTGAAAAATATTTTATCTGAGCTCTGAGAAGCAATGTTGCATTCATAGTCTTTTCTTGACTTTCTAATGACACTTGTTAGGTAGTTGTTTTGTTCGCGATATTTTTTGTAGTTGTCATCTGTAGCTGATTTTTTGTATTTGTCCCATAGACCTCGTTTCTTTTCTATTTGTTTAAATATGAACTGGTTTAGCCACGGTTTCTGTGGGTTTGTTTTACATGGTTTCAAAGGAATGAACTTGTCTATAGCACTGCTTAAGACTGACATGCACGTGTGGAACACATCACCCGAGGCAGCAAAATTTTGCTCAGCCAGAAAACTATTGATTTTCTCATAGTCGGCACTGAAGAAGTTGCGTTTCAATACAGTTTTCGTTGGACGCAGTTCACACTTTAGTTGACTTTTTCCAATGATGACGACATGGTCGCTCTTTCCTATGGGTGGCTCGGGTTCCAAGTTATATAGCAGTTTCTTATCATTGGTGAAGACTAGATCAAGTAGTGAAACTTGGTCATTTCGGAAACGTGTTGGGAAATCAACCATTTGGTAAGCATTAGTTTCAAGATAGTTGTCCAAAAAAAGTCGATTTTGTTTGTCTGGGTTGGACAGATTAAGATTCTTCCAATCTATATACCGATAGTTGAAATCCCCCATAATATAAACGGGCATATCCAATGAACAGGCACGCTTAATTGAGTTGATCATAATATTATCATTTTCCTCACTAGAATAATCCGTTCTGTATATACAAGAGACCAGAAATTTGATGTTACAGACCTTTATATCAATCCACAATGACTGTATTGGGGCTAATGTATTAAATTGATTGTTTACTGTAGAATATACTTTGTGTCCATTCAGCTCATCCTTAACCAAAACACACACTCCACCTCCAGTTTGATTTTCTCTGTCTTGGCGGAATACACTATACCCATCAATCCCAACAATACTATCAACAATGTTCTCATTAAGCCAAGTCTCTGTTACTAAGATGCATGCAGGATTATGTTTCTGTATTGATACTGACCATTCATCTATTTTATTGGCAATAGATTGCAAGTTACTGTACCAAAAAGTGATTTCAATCTCCAACCTGCTACCCTGATTGTTGCTTATTAGTTTTTTGGACCTTGCTTGATCTTTATAATTTTTGGAATAGAGTTATGGTATTTAATTTTAAGGTTGGACTCACCGCTTTCCTTTCGGGCTTTTAGTTCGGCTACAACTCCCTTCAAGTACTTCTGTTGAAGGAGAGTTAGATCGCCCTTGATATATATTCCTTTCGATTCATCTAGTTTGCTTTTGCTCTTTAAAATTTTTAAAGCATCTTCCTTTGTTTCAAACATAACCTTTATAGGTCTAACCTTATTTAAATCATATCCTCCCAATCTGTACAATTTGATACTTTCAGTGGGTACGGATTCATCTAGTGAGTTTAGTATTGATACGGCCCCCTCCTTCTCTTTTATATTCCGTTCTTCCTTGTTCAGATTTTTTATTTCAGGAACCCCAAGTACAATTATATTCAAGGACCGTTTCGC